GGGGGGAGATGGAAGGACAAGGAGAGAACTCCTTTTTGAGGCTGAAACCAAGGCTTAGTTTTCTCAGATAATCCCCCCTATCACTTCAACAGTCTATCTGCTTGCCAGCTCAGACTAACTAACTTCCCTAACAGCTGTGTAACAGTTTCTCTACTTTGATCCTTCACACATTCAAGTTGCGGAACTTCTCTTTATTATGCTGAGGGCTAACATGTTTTATGCCTTTGCTTTCTCTACTTTGATCCTTCACACATTCAAGTTCCGGAACTTCTCTTTATTATGCTGAGGGCTAACATGTTATTAGATTACGGTCCTTCTTAGGCTGGTATTAATTTTATGTCTTTGCTTTCTCTACTTTAATCCTTCACACATTCAAGTTCCAGAACTTCTCTTTATTATGCTAAGGGCTAACATGTTATTAGATTACGGTCCTTGTTAGGCTGGTATTAATTGTATGCCTTTGCTGCTAGCACTATCATCATTAAATCACATTGGTTCCCTCACTTGATTTTCATCTGGAGCGGTTCCCACAAATCAGTCAAAAGTTGAATTTTCATAGGCTGTTTGGTTTTGTATTGGTTGTTGTTCACGCCAATGTCATTCCAAAGTCACAACTCACAACAATGTATAAATAGAACTTATTTTAAGCCTGGCAAGCAATTTCTTTTACCTACCAATATATCATTGCTATTAGTCCTCTCCTATGTCTTTTCAGCTCAAGGACAATTGTTATCCCTAAATTTATAGCATCCTTGAAAAGTTGTATAGTGTTTTGTTTATGACTTACTATTTTGTAATTAATTTGATGCAGGTTAGTACTTTTATTAAAACTTGCCAGGAACAAATTGATATTCTTAAGAATAGCATAAATCAAGATGAGGAAACTTCAAAAGGTTGGCTTGGCATTTCAAACACTAAATCTAATGCAGACACCATTGCCCACAAACATGGGGTGGTAAGGACTTCTTGTGCTTGTTGATTTTTATCACTTATTAGTTACCTATGTGGGTCATGATCATTTTTTAACACCTTAAAAAGATATTTTAGCTAGTTGTCCATGTTGACCATGAAATCATGAATCACATTTTATGCAGAGTAGTGTTACTCTCACTTTTTATCTACAAGACACAGGATAAGAACAGGACAATCATGATCTCTATTGCAATGTTTGATAATGCTATTCTATTGAACTCCTGATTCCTGAATACAAATACATTCATGAATTGAGATGGCATGGCTATATTGTTTTTGTATCCTAATGTTTATTTGGCCACAATTTTAGGTTCTAATTTTAAGCGAGAGACTCCATTCAGTTACAGCACAGTTTGATCAGCTCAGAGCTGTACGCTTCCAGGATGCTATTAATAAAGCAATACCACGACGAAAACTTAATCGTGTAACCAGGAAAGATTCTGCAGAAACCTCTAATTCAGGAGACACAGAGCTCAGAGAACCAGAGGAGTTACAAGCTGAGCCTCTAAGACTCCAACAACAACACTTAGATGATGAAACGCGTGCCCTTCAGGTGATAAAACTGATTTCCTTATTTGTGTAGGACTTGTTCTGTCATTTGTTTAATTGAATGCTTTTAGATTCTCATAACTAACCCTTTGCCATTCTTTTCATGTAGGTGGAATTGACTAGTCTTCTCGATACAGTTCAAGAAACTGAAACTAAGATGGTGGAAATGTCTGCACTAAATCATCTCATGTCTACACATGTTTTGCATCAAGCGCAGCAGATTGAGCACCTGTATGAGCAGGTTAGATACCATATCATATTTTTCATGCTTGTTCTCCTTTATCCTTTTTTTTTGTGTTGTGTGTGTGAACATTTAAAAGGCTGGCATCTATCATGTCTATGTTGCCTATCCCCCACCTTCCAAATGTTGAGTAATGCTAAGTGGTGTGAAAGCTGGAATTAGAGTAGGACAGGGGAAGAAAATAGATCACATATAAAATCAAAACAGTGATACTTGATTCATCTTGAATTCAAGGATTAAATATGCATCATACTGGCATTTAGCAATCTTAATAATATGCAAATCCACTCGATAGCCCAGTAATGCAAAATGACTAAACCCTGAAATAAACTTAAGATATAATAGTTTTCACAGGTTTCAACATTGTAGTGCGGTAAGTACTGTGCAATTTGTTTAATCTGCACAAAAATAGTTGCATTTCGAATTCTCAAGAAATATAATAGTGCTTTTGCTGCCTTTTACAGGCTGTGGAAGCTACTAAGAATGTTGAGCTTGGTAACAGAGAACTCTCTCAAGCCATTCAGCGGAATAGCAGCAGCAGGACATTTCTTTTACTGTTTCTGTTTGTGCTTACTTTCTCGATCCTCTTTCTTGATTGGTATAGTTAAACGCTTTTTGTTTTCTGCTATCAGTGTATCTTCTTACAGGCACTCTCTGCCCCGTCTAATTTTTCCCACCAGAAAGGCATCTTTTTTCTAGATGCGATTTGTTTATGAATTTTAGTAATCAATTTATGAAGGGAATGACACAAGAGACCTGCCTACTGTTTGGTAGGAGGGGAGGGAAATCAAAATTTTAGTACGGTACAAAATGAGGTGTGCAAGGGCCAAGGAGGACTGGATCATCTTGCAATTTACTTGGTTGTTTTGGAAGGTTACCTGTTATACTAGCTATAGGTTAAAAGACCTAAGCATTCATTCATTAAAATATATTGACAGATATAATGGTTTAGAATTATTTGTGTATGGGGGACCATTATTTGAATGTGTACCGTATACGCAAGCATTGTCGAATATCATCTTTTTCTACTATTTTTTAGAGTTTTTTAAAATTTTCAATTTTTAAGCATTTATTTGAATGCAAACATAGCCCATTTATTTTTAAATAGAACATCATCCTGAAAATATTTTATATATTGTACATGTATTTAAAAATATAACACTTAAATATGATTTAAAAATAATAAGATAATATTTAGTTACAAGAATTTCAATAATTTATAAATGTCGCTATAGAATTGATGTTAATTGAAAATTTTAATATTAATTAAAGGAAATAAAAAATCTGTAATGAACAATTTAATCAAAAGAAAAATAAAAATTTAATTTAATACAAAAACTCAATATGGATCATAAAATAACCAACCAAGACAAATAAAAAAGAGTTCAAGATACTCAATTGCACTTTAAAAGGAAAATCGAATTTGTCTTAAAATTTAGACAGATTTCAGGACAAACCATCCCCTCAGACTTTGTTCTCAAAAGCCTATGATTTTCATTTGTTCAAATGATAAACAGGATGTTACCATCACAACAAATAAAATTCAGATAACTAGACTAGATGATTGTGCATATAAAGACGAAAATAGTATTATCATTCCTTTACGAGGAAACAAAGATGTAAAATATAAAATGGGGGGACCTTGAATGCTCACGATTGGACCGAAAACTAAAACGACAAGAAGGTTATGTCCATAAAGTCAGCAACTACAAAAATGTAATTTTCTTTATTTCATTTTCACTTGATATTTCCACGGTGTACAAATTCTCCACCCCATTTTCCAGCATTAACAAGGTTCATTTTCTACTACACAAATGATCGTGAACATATCTTTACCTGATGTCATCACAGGCCACCACCACCAACCTGAAAATTGACCACCAAAATGTCATTAAATACATGTTCCTTTAAAACAGAAAAAACCATTACAAGTATTGCTACAAAAGCCTTGGATGTTACAATAATATTAATAACAATAAGCAAGTTTCCTTTGCGTTATACGGGTAATATTAACTTTAAATAAAAATGAATTGAAAAGAACAATAAATGTTTTTATTATTAACAATAAAAATTCTATTATATTAAATATGGATAAATTAAAGAGATGAAGACATTTAAAATTTAATGCAAAATAATTAAAATCAGAACACACTCATTAATATGGTATTTTAAAAACCAAATCCAAATTTAAAATGATTAAGATTATAATAATTTAAGAATTCAGTTATCTGAAAGGGAATGGTATCTTAAATATGATACAATGTATCAAGATTTAAAATTTAAATAAAATTAAGAAATGATACTTGAAAGGAAAATAAATATAAAAAAATAAAAAATAAAAATAAAAAACTAAAATGCTTAATTCAAGAAAGTCATGGAACTTAATAAGGATGAGAGTAACTCTTAGACACACTATTCAAGAATGAGAATTCAAACTTTGCCAAAAACAAAAAGAATGAGAATTCAGATTTATAAGACTGGATAATAATAATAATAATTTATTTGACTGTCAAAATTCATGAATAATATGGTTCATATAAAGAACTGCATATAAAAAAAGAATGAATTGCTTACTTACAGTTATAGGACAAAATTTGGGGTAGCTGAACTCAACTCCCTGTAGTAGGTCTTCTTTTCACCACCAAATCATCAGCTGAGTAGTAATCAGCTATGAGCCGGTACACATATGACGGGTTATGCCCTCCTCTGAGAACCAGTAGTTTCCAAACAAACAAATACAGAAAATGAAACCAATTACTATTGGTACATGCATCTTCTAAGTCAGTGATAAAGGAAAGATAGTTTTCCAAATCAATTTCGGTTCAACTTACGTGTCTGTAATAAAGAGACTAACAAGTTTTGGTGGCACGTAATCAAATGTTGGATTGACAACATGAAGAGAACCAGTGCCACTAGCAGAATCCATGCAATCTGAGAATTCTCCAAAGTCAAGTAGCTCAGATGGGGATCTCAGCTCATTCAGTAGGACTTCTGGATTGTGTGGATACAAAGGGCACAACTGTAAACAAAATATAGCAACTTTCAACAAAAGCCAAACAGTTGGTAACTGAGTAGATGGAGATCACAAACTAATTTTAGATGGCATCAAAATTTGCTTAAAAGCAATTAATGGAAAGCCTAGAGGTACTGTGTATTATTGATAATATTATCACAGTCTGGACACATCTTAACTGAGTCAATGCCTAAGAAACACCTATTTCATTATCATATAAAATGAAGGAAAATTCAGGATTTCAAATCTCTACAAATCCCACCATTAGGTCAAGAGTACCAATTTGAAGAGTTTGAGATATCTAGACTTTAAACTTACATTACATTTACTAGATGGATATAATGTGCAGCCAACAGGAGTATTATTCAGCAGCTTGTAAAAATCCATTGACACTCGGTACCCTTCAATTTATGATAATACAATTTTTTTTTTTATTTTGAAGAGCAAAAAACAGAATTTTTATTCAATCATACTTGGTAAAGTACAAGATGTACCCATACAATGATAATACAATTTTTAAAACAGAAAATGAATTTGGATTCCTCCAGAACTATAAGAAATGAATAAATTATCATCTATATGGCTATATATTAGAAATTCCAGGCTTCACTGTCACCTCTTCATAATAAAATTTCTAGTAACATTATTTTAAACTAGTGGCCAAAACTTTTACAAGCTTTTTTGTTTAAATTTATATTTCAAAGACTTCGTATTTATACACATTCCCAATTCATTAAAAGTTAAAACCGTTTATCTCTTCCTCATCACCCTTTTAATACATAATAAGTTGTCTAAATAGCCAAAACAAGGACTAAACATATAACGGAACATATTGGGTTGACAGTTCATAGCTGGTTTACATATTTCTATGTTTATCCTCCATATCCAGTTTAAAGAAGAAGAAGAAGGAAGAAGGTGCAAAAGTTAAAACTAATGTTATATATCCATATAAATTTGACTTGAATACATATCATGCTTCTTATGCCTAATATTTGGTTTGAACTATCAAATATTGTTTGGTTATTCATTTTGACAATTCAGTAAAACATAAAAACACCATATTGATTAAGTATTTATTTTGATTCTGATATTCCAATTTACAAATATACAAACTGTAATGTGTTATCCAATCAATAATTAATTCTAAAGTCCATATGTGCAAAAGACAATTCATATTCTTTGTCTCGATGAATTTGGCAATAAACTATCATCCTATTTCCAAATTTATCAGAACAAGAAAGAAATTATGGGGAATCTATCTAAATTCATAAGCATTCTTGTTTCTTAGAACGTGACAGATGTGAGACACAGAGATATTAAAGTTAACAACTCACCTTGTGACTCCCAGCAAGTACAACAAATGGAACAGCATGCCTTTGAGCTGCAAGTGCAACCATATTTAACCCAACCGGGGCAATAACTCCACCATTAGCCATTACAGCATGAGCTCCAACAATAACCTACTTAATGGTAAGTTTATATCAATTCAAATTCAGCATAAGAGTCTTGATTGATTCCAAAAACTATGCCAGGATTTTCACATACCATGTTCACTCGGGAAATCATGGCAAAAACAGCTGAGTCAGTAATTATTGTGGTCTGTAAGCCTCTGGCAGCCAATTCTTTTGCAAGGAGATGTCCCTGATATCTGATCGAACGCACAGTAATCATTAAATGGACTTATGAGGAAAAGTTCATCGCTAATAAATCACACCATCATTCCATGTAAATGTTAGATAGCCACTACTTCCAACCTTGGGGCACCTTCAGCAACAAAGACCTTAAATGATCTCTGTTTTTCCTTTGCTGCATAAAGAAATTCCAACACTGTGTTTGAGCTGCCTAGCGTTAATATTACCTCACTGAAAATCATACAAACAGAACTGTAAGATAATAAGAAAAAGAATAAAAGATTTTCTTCTATCTAAAACAGATAATAAAGAAAAAATAATCACAATATCAAGACAATAAAAAAATCAACAGAAGAACATTTGCCTTGGTTATTTAAGATACTAGAGATACAAGAAAAAAAATAACAAGAAAAATGTATGGACCCTAATGTCAGTCACGTAGTTAAACAATCTTCTGCAACACAACCTCAAATTTGAGAACATCAACAGGAAAATCAACTCATGTTCCCAATATACAAAAACAAAGCCACGTCATAGTTACTTTAAAAAATAAATTGAAGACTCCATTGTTTGATGTTTTAAATTAAATGTCATTCATAAAATATATGCATGATACTCTAAAGAAATGTTATGTATTTCAAAATTGGTCTTTGACTAATAATATAAGTCAACACTCAACAGAAGCCAACCCAGTAATACAATTGCCATATGTTCATAAAATAATGTTACAGGTAAGACAGTCTCCAAGCGAAGCTTCAATAAAACTGGCTTGATAAACTCAACACCATATAAGTAGTTACATAAAAAATTAGATGGATTCTTCCAATTGTGTTGGTATTCTATTTCAGTCCAATATTTTTGCCATTATAAAAATAATGTAGAAAGCACTCAAAGAATATATTGGCACTTAACATGTGCATTGCTTCCTATACAGTTGTTATAAATATCAAAAACAGTTTTAGTTTGTGATTACATATTAGACCATCTAGAAATATATATATATATATATATATATATATAATGTACTGTTCACAATTAAGACCTGGTAAAACAATACTCACTCAGAAAACAAAATGCTTTCAATACCCATTTGTAGGCCAAAATAAATTGTCTGTAAATATGTAAAAAATTCCATGCAAGCTTTTCAGTCACAGAACAATCTGCTTTTGAGAAGCATCTATAACATGTGTTCAAACAAGCACATTGAAGTAGCTAGAGCTAAACAGTATATCCTATAGTAGTTTCATGGGAAACAAACTTGTGATGAATGTGCTCAACTGCCTGCTCAGCTATTTGTTCATAGCAAGTAGATATGTCTTGAATAAGTTCATTGACTGCTTCAAGGACATCGTGCTTCAATTTCCGACTTTTTGAACCTTTTTCAACAGCTGTAACAAAGGAAAACAAAACTCAAACACAGAAAGACATGCAATTGACCACCAAAACAACAACACATATTTCATCATCAAATGCAACACACGAAGGAAACAATATTATAAATTATTCACAGGGATCAACAAATAAACATCCAGTAATGTCAATGAAGCATCCTAGTATCTCTGAAAATATGAGAAAAAATAATATTTGTTGCATCGACGAAAGTTATCTAACCTAAACTACAAAAATCTTTGGTCATACATGAATTTTTGCATGCAAAAGGATGAAATAAAAAAAGAATAACTTCACTATTGCATTTAAAAGAAAATTTCAGCGTACTCAGAAAACAAAAGCCTTTTTTCATTAAGAAGCAAAAAGAATATATCATGCAAAATATTATAAAAGCTCTAAAACTCTCAATAACCTTGTCATACTCACATCTACTTCTCCCATCAGATTCCCCACCGGAGGAAGATGTATGGGGAGCAGCAGCTGATTCAGAGGTATCCTCTAGAAGAGTTTGCAATGACGGTGGACGCAATGTGCTTCGAGCAGCTGCTGCAACAACAGCAGCAGATAAAACAGAATTTTCACCTCGCTCCACATCATCTTCATCATCACTTGCAGCTGAAACCCCCAAACCAGCCATAGCAGCTGTCGCAAGGGAAAGATCCTCTTCCCTTATAATGTGCAAAACACGTCTCACGATATTTCCCACAGCCAGCTCTGCAACCACATACATGACATGTCACTATAGGCAAACAACAAATCAATCTCCATAATCCCCAAATCAAAATAAACTTATGCATAATTGCATATGACTGTAACAAACCCTTCAACAAAATCAGCACTGCTAACCTAGGCAACCAGACAGCAATTAAACCCAAAAATATACATTTCAACTGTTATAAATCATTGAACACAACACAAACAAAATGCATAGTTATAGTTACACTAAACAAAAAACAAAGCTTAATCTTAACATACCAACTGGATTAGCAGCAATAAGTTGCTCCCCCACAGCTCTTACTGCATTAATCAAAGCTGTGGTCTGGTTTGTGTGTGGCACTCTCTGCTGTGAAATCACAGACCGGAGCAGCTCTGCTGTTTGCTTTGCTGTGGCCTGAGAACCTTCAATTTTACTAGCATCGCTCAGCAAAAGAAATAAATAAATAAGAAATCACCAAAAATAAATTAATAAGAAATCAAACACACACATAGTTAAGAGAGAAAATAACAAACTCAGTTCCCATTTCCTAATCCTAAACCTCGAAAAGCACATGATGGTTCCTCATACACCATTCATTGAACTCAAACAGTGTCAGAGGAGAAAAAAATTACCGCTTTTTGAGCTGATTCAAAAATTCATTGACAAGGGTTTGAACATCCGGCATTTTGGCCGAACTCAACCTGAAAATAACAATGATAATAACTAAGAAAAACAGAAAAGGATTTTACTTTATGAAAATACAAACAAAAGGGTAACCTAAAGTAGTGTTACAATGTCAAAGCTCTTTAATTGGACTTCTTGTAATCAACAATGTTTGCGAGAGAGAAATAATTGAGAATAGAAGAGTAGGGTTCTGGAGTGAATTTTGATTTACAACTGTATCCGCTGAAAGCGAATTCTCTGCACTCCAGAATTCAATGAACTCACGTAGTCATTTAATTGTAACCGTTGGATATAGATCAGAGTCTGCTACGTGATAAAAAGAGATCCGTCAGATCTTAATCTGACGGCAGTGTTTATACCTGCTTGAATTCATAAATGTACCGAATTATCTGTTTCCTGGAATCGGATAGATCAAGTTAGGATCGTGATACCCATTACCAATATCATGTGTGTTTGGGCTTAGGCCCTTTTTATTCAACAAAAAAGAATACCATGTGAAATAATTGATTTTTTTTTTTATTTCGTGTGTGTTTGGAGTATTTCAGATTTTTAATAAATTTAAAATTTTAAGAATTTTGATTTTTAATTCATAAATAGTGTTTGGATGGAAAATTTTAAGAAAATAATTCATTATTTTTAATTTACCATTAAAATCTCTAAAAAAAAAGCACCACAAACTACAATATAAATATTATTTGTATAATAAAGAATTTCTATTAAGTCGGTCATTACAAAAATAAAATAATATTTTTAATTGTAGTTATATGTTAAGGCTAAAAAATGAACCTCATTTTTTATTAAAAAGATAATTGTGAAATTATTTGTAATAACAACTTTGGATATAATATTTTGTTTTGATAAAATGGAAATGGTTTATCCAATATTATTATGATGTTGATAGTTTGTGGAATCAAATTGTAAATACTTTTTTACATATAAATCAAAATATAAACACACTTACACATACATGCACGCACACGCAAAGTAATTCAGAAAAGTAAATTATATGACCTAATGGTGTGTTTGGATGAGGAATTTTACAAATTTAAGGAATTTTAAATTCTTGGTATTTGAATTACTTTGATTTCAATTTCTATCATTCTTAAAATATTTTGTTTAGATAAGTCAATTCAAAGTTCTTAAATTTTAAATTATTATGTTAAATATGATAATTTGATTCTACCATGGTAAAATTGATTTTAAAAATATATTTATATGTTGAGAATTTTAAATTAAATTTTATAAAAATAAATATTAGCTAATTTTTAAATATTTAATTATTTTGAAAAATAATATTAGATAATATTTAATAATTTTAAAAATAATTTTGAATATTTAATAATTAAAAACATGAAGAGATAAGAGATAAGGTAAAATATATAAATGAAATAAGAAAAAAAAATATGAGGAATTTCAAATTCTTACTTTTTTGGGAGAATTTGAAATTCTACTATTTCAAAGAATTTCACAAATACTTGAATTTCAAATTCTTTGTAAATTCTCCATCCAAACAAGGTATTTCACCTTAAAGAATTTGAAATCCTTCAAATAAATGAATTACTCCATTTAAATTTCTCATCCAAACGCATTATAAGGGTGTCAGTCAGGCAAAATTATACAACTCCAAAAGTAGTCATCAACTACATCGCCAATTAATACATGGTCCATCAACAACTCTACTATCTCTCTCCATCTAACCTTATATTTCTCCCATGAAAAATCATAATCATCACAGTCCATACCACATTGAAAACACATAAGGGTAAGCTAGATTTCAAAAATATAATAGTATAGGAAAGAATATCTATATTATTATTCATCATGTAAACCAACCAAAAACACACCTTGAAACATTCATGTTTTCATGTGCTAGTTCAAGTCGTACGTTAAGAGTCTTGTATAGAGTGAGTGGGTTCAACTTTAGGAGGAGTTTATGTGGGATTTCTCAAGTGGAGACTTATAACTTTTTATTTTTAGAAAAACTTTTCATTCGGAAGTTTTTCTCCATTGTCTAAAGATAAGTTTTTCTTAAGGAAACAAGAGTTTTCTCCTCCTAGAAGCCTCCCTCCCCTCCTTCTAATAATTGATCCATCTTGCGAAAAGATGTGATGCGGAGTTCATAACGTCTTTTCCTTACCCTCATTGATTCATTTCTTCAAAAGGTAAGGAAAGTTTGTAGCTTAAATGATTGCATGTTTCTTATTGTTGTTTTGGATGTGATTTCTAATGGGTAAGTTCAACTAGTTGTTGAATATTGTGTAAATATGTATGAGAGGATGGATGTTGGGCTTTTAGGATTTTTGGTGTTCTTAATATGTTGTTGATTTTCCCATTGGTGGCTTGAATTGTCATTTTTAAGATGATTTTTGAAGTCGTGAAGTCAAGGTTTCCAGGGAAGGTGAACCAAACCCTAAAGTTGTTGATATCTCATTGTTAGGGGTATGCATGTTGCATTTGAACTAGTTTGCATGTTGAATATGTTATTTCGAATCATTTTTATGGTTTAGATTTGAGATAAAAGCTTGTAAGTGAGTTTGGGATGGATTAGAAAGGCGTGGAAACTCCAAAATCGCAAAAAATATAAATGGTCTTTATCATGAAATGACCGAGTGGATTTAGAGATGAGAATCAAGGGTGTCTCTAGAAGAAATTTGCTGAGGAATTTTTAAACAATTGAGCATATTGATATTTTTCGAATTAGTCTTTGTTGTCTTTATAAAAGTTATATCCCTAGATGTCAACCTTTCAATAGCCTTAGAATAACCTAAAAAAGAGGTATAGAACTCTAGTTATGACCTTTTTAGTAAGTAAAGGTCAAGTTGTCAGTATTAGACAAAATGTTACGATTTTTGTGATTTTCAGTATAGTAGATGGTGGAGTTAAAACGTGAAGTCTTCATAAGAGTTGTAGATAACCTTTTTAGCCTTCATATGAGATAAAAATGAATTTGATTGTGTGGAAGTAACACTTGCAGGATTTGATGATCCCAATACAAAGACGTATCTTTAAAGATTCACAAGATTGTGCATGAAGCAAAGTTGATTCAAGTTCAAGATTAGATAAGTCTTAATCAATTTAGTTTCCTTATTAAAAGAATCTCTAAGATTTTGCAAGATGTATTGGCCTTTAAATATTTTTTAAAGGAAACGATTTAATATACTTTTGATAAGAAGTAAAAGTATTATTTAAGTTTTTACAAGGTAACAAATTTTCAAAATAATACTTCAAGAAATGTATGAAAGATTAAATTTATTAAAACCCTGGAATACACATTTTTGGTCTGGTAATCGATTACCAGATGTTGTATAATTCAAATTAGAAAGCATCAACGATATTATTAAAATTTGAATTTTTAACTGTTGTAATCGATTACCAACCCATTATAATCGATTACCAACATATCTTTTCAAAATAACATTTAAAGTTACAACTCTTCATGAAAAGACTAGAAAGCTTTGAATTTTTCCTCATATATATATTCCTCTAAACTTATGAGAAAAATAACTAATTTTTCAATTGTGAGAAACCTTTTTGAAAAACTACATGGCCAAACACTTGCAAAAATCTTTAAAAGTTCTTATAGGATCTTCAATTTGTTTCATCTACTCTTCTAGAGAGTTTATCCTGTGAAAAAACTTTAATTCATTTGTTGTAATCAAGAGAGTGTTTCTCTTGAGTGTGACTGGAACTCAACACAAAGGAAAGGGATTCCAAGGTGTTTGACTGTTCATCTAATGTAAAAAAATTTACAAAGATAGTGGAAATCTCAAGTGGGTGACTTGAGGACTAGACGTAGGCAAGGGTTGGTCAAATCAATATAAAATTAAGTTTGCAAGTTCTCTTTCTTATCCTTTTACTTGTTTACTTGTTGATTGTTAAGTCAATATGTAACGCCCAATTTATATAATATTAAATATATATTCCTTATATGTTATTATCACAATTATATCATTAATAATATTTTTCATAAAGACAAAGAAAATTTTGTGAACTTATTTACATATAGTTAGTACATATTTACATTACATATTATTTTAAAAATATTTACAATAATGTACTATTTTACACATTATTCATTTCTTTCACTTCTATTACAATAGTTACACTGATGGTGGAAATAAATTTACAATTGGACTAGTATGGTTGGCGAATAAAGAAATTAATATAATAGGTCCATCAATAATAGTGGGTTTTTTTTTTGTCGAAAAAAAGATGAAGATAATCATATGCCTTGAAATGTAACTGAGTTGGAAACAACATCCTCATCCTAATTCCCTTTGGGGAAGACAGCAATAATAACAACTGTAAAAGGACCTGGAATCGTAGGTAGATCCATTTATTTTGTAATAATTTAATTTTAAAAAACAAAGAAAAAAGAGGAGTGAGAACAAATATCCAATAAATACAAATAATTCAATAGAATGTACAGAATTATTTATAATTAATATTAAACATATATATATATATATATATTAAATTTTCATGTTATAATAAAATTTGAATTATTTTAGTAGTGACCAATCAGGATAAATGAGCATAATCATAATATCAACCAACAAAAAGATATTTCACCTTAAATTTTTACTCATTTAAATCTCCAAGGTCAAACCTTCGACTACAAATTAATTCAAATTTTATTCTCTATGGCCATAAAATAATATTTATCTTTATGCTGTATGAACAAATAACAATATATAATGGGCTTAGGATATTTTAACAAAACTATATTATAGTTAATATTAATATAAAAATAATTAAGCTAAATAAGTTTAAGTATGTTTAATTTTTAAAAAATTAATATAATATAGTTTATGTAAATAGAATGTATTAAACAATATTGATCTAGTAAATGATAGTGATAAACATCATAAAATAATTAAATAACATAAACTAGCAACACCTTATTAATTATTTAGAGTAAAAAGTATCATAGATTAAGCAAGTCAATGAGATTAGGGACACCTCACTAAATAAATATACATAGATATAATATAATAAATAGTATATAAAATTTTAAAAGGATAAAGATCTCATCCCCTTACCTTAGAATGTAGACTTAACAAGAGTTAACTATGTCAAAATTTCACTGTTCACTTCCTACTCACTTCTCTCTCTTTTTCTCTTTCTCTCTTCTCTTCCTTCTCTGTTTTTTTCCCCACTCCGTGAGCTTGTACATGTGAAGCTATTTATAGAGTGAATGACAATGATTACATGGTTAACTTTTAATGGAAATTTGGTTTCATTTGGTTAGTT